TTTTTTGGAAGCTTTTCATTGTGGAAAGTAATTAGCCTCAGCTATCTTATGCTGTTGCAGAGAATGGCTTCTGTAGAAAATGTTTGCAGGCTTGCGTTCTCGTCTGAGATAGGTTAATGTACTTAATGGTGAATCGGAATTAACATTTTTTTTGATTTTTCGCTACAACCGCAAAGTTTTTGCACAATGTCAGTTGATATCACAACATACCTGCATATCTGCTCTCTTATGCGCCATCTGTAGTAACTGTTGTCAGCACACGACAGTTAATAAGCAGCAGTTTTTGTGAGCATAGAGTTACAGGAGGCAGTTTCAAACAGACAGGAAGGTTTGTGATTCTGATTCACGTTCGCTGAAGAAGACGACGGTCGTGTAGCTACTTGAGACTCTGCAGCTGAATTGGCGGGGTAGGCGCAGGTAAGATCAACTTGCTACTTGAAAATGTTCATTGGAAATGGGCAATGGCCTTGTCAAGGTTAGATTTTTGAAAAAAACCCCCAAATATAGTATTAGGGCGGGTGTTGGGCTTGTTACACTTGACCACTTTAATATCTGTTGTGTACACTTATCATCATATTAGGTCGAATTAGTTTAAATCATTTCTTCTCTAACTAGTTAATTATGAAGCTTGAATGGTTTGGAAGATAAAAGCATTTTTTAGTGAAAACACCAAGACAGCTCAAAAAGACTTGCATCATGCTACACTATGATTATAATAACTTACTATAACTAGCTATAAGAATGTTTTCGGGCAGACCTTCCCGCAAGCGGTTCACTAACGGTAGAGCTTCACCGACTCTTAGATTTAATGAAAACTACTAGTAAGCATGCTAACACACCGTTTGCAATGAGGATTCCTGGACCTGTAACAAACCAAAGTGGTTTTTGGGTGAAATCATATCATGCTCACACATAAACATTAACGGAGCGAGATGATGGCTTTAAAGATAGTGTTCGGGCCTCCATTCTAAGTTCTATTCAGATGATGGCTGGCGCTATAAGTTATATCCGAATTAAGACAAATAGTTTGCCGTAGTAAACTAGGAAATCGCCAGGGACATTTAGGTCTCAACCTGCGCTTTTGCGCCCAAAAGAAGTTTCAGAACTGCGGTGTTTCCTTTCTGTTGCCAGCAATGCTCTCTAGCGAAGAAAGTCTGTCAACGTTTTAAGACGAACTACCCGTTATAATTTATCGCATCGCTGCAACTGTTTTCGTTGATTAAGGAAAGCCATGGATCTCTTTTTTTAAATAACGGTAATGGAAACTAATAATCGCGTTAACACGGTCCAGAATAGCCGGAAAATTCAGTCATAGTCTGCTGGGATAGTGCTTTCAAACCTTTATCGGGTGAATTTCACACCGAGACTCGGATCACCAGCAATTGCGCAGTAATTCTTTTTCTCCTGATACTGAGCTGTGACTGCTCGGTAATTACCAGCCTCGCTCGTATCCCCTCCTACCTTTGAGGCGCCGCTAGCTATGAGCCCCCTCCCTCCTAACGACGTCTGCTCGCCCGGGAGTAGCTTTGGCCCGGTAGAAATGTATGAACGTTGACGCATGATATGATACCGTGATGTCGTTGAAAACTCAGGTTCAACAAGAAGTTTGCAATTTTTTAGTGCATTCAGTGCATTCTGCGACATGCTATCGGGCTGATAGCAAACCTTTTAGACCAAAAATAATAATGTATTAGCTTGTAAATACTGTGAAACTCTACTTTCTTAAATTAGCTTGATTTATTTTCGATGAGGAGAGGCGTGTTCCAAGTGTAATAACTGAGCAGGTCTGTATTTTAACATATGATGTGGAGTAAGTCGTAGTTTCAATTTAAGCAAATCATACTGTAGCAGCAGACTGATCAAATTTACTTTTGAAGGTTAAAGCATCATGTTCGCTAAGCTGTGCTCCTAAAAATTATCTTGAGTTATACGCTAATAGTACCTCTGTGTATCATTTTTCTGCCCAGAGACGACGGTTAGAGAAGGGGTGAAATAATTCATAAGATGTGCTCATAAACATATGATCGCATTTTTGCAGGCTTTTACAAAAGTTTTCCGGAACAGTCTGCATGCCACCTCCGCAATGCTCTACTGAAGCGTGTAGCTCCAATGCTGTAGTCAAACGGGCACTGGATGAGGCACCGCTTTGTGCTAAGTGCTTCACAGAGGGATTCGAGCGGGTAGTTTATCTTTTGATATCTTAATTTCCAATATGATAAATTTTTGAACAAGTAAAAATTGCAGCATGTTCACGAAACCATCAGTGCTGCTAATTTGTTTCGTCGTGGAGAACGCGTAGCAATTGGAGCATCTGGAGGAAAAGATTCTACTGTGTTGGCATATGTGATGAAGGTAAACACGTGTACCAAGAATTCATTGGGATTTTACGAGTTTTTTTTCTCTTGCAAAGACCCTTACTGCGGCTGTTAGCTATACTTCCGCCACTTTATCAAAGCTTTTCAGACGCTCAATGATAGGTATGATTACGGATTGGACTTAGTACTAATATCAATTGATGAAGGGATCAAAGGATATCGCGATGACTCTTTAAAGGTAGATTTCTTTTTCCAATCTGGCTACTTCTTCTCCACTATTTGAGTACTTTTTTTTACCGTTTGAAAGATATGAATATGTTTGAATTTCTTTATAGGCTGTCGAAAGAAATCGCATTGTGTATTGCTTACCACTCACAGTGCTTAGTTATAAAGATCTTTACGGTTGGACGATGGACGAGATCGTAGCGAAAATAGGGAAAAAGAACAACTGTACTTTTTGTGGAGTGTTTCGACGACAGGCATTGGACAGGTACTTGGAGTGGAACATGTTGTAGGATTGAAATGTACCCAA